TAGGCCCGAAACGTCAGCCTCTCTGCTCCTATGATGCTGCTTGGCCTGCTGTGTTCATCCAGCCCTGCACCTTGTTGTCTCGGATTCTCCAGCATCTGCAGTTCCTACTATCTCACATGGAGGCCAGGGCAGGTAAGAATGGTAGATTTTGTCCCTAAAGTACACGGGTGAACAGGTGGGCTTGTAACAATAATCAATGATAATTTCATGGTTGCTATTACCAAGACTAGCTTTCAATTCCAGATTTTATTCAGTGAAATTAAATTCCACCAGTTGGTCTGATAGGATCTGAATCCATGCTCCAGAGTATTAGCCTGAGTTGTCTGATTAATACATCAGTGAACATTGCCACTAAGCCACCATCAGCTCGTTGTGAACCTGTCAATATTGATAGAACGTTCAGTTTCTGCATCCTGACCTATAGCTTTAGTGTTCATGATGCTGATTGTTAGTTTGAACTCCCTGCAGGCCTCAAGGTCCTGATCTATAAGTTGCTGCAAGTGAACTTCAGTACACCATGCCACCAGTGTTAACAGCAAATAGCAACTTATAGAGTAGGAGTTTAGACATTTAAGTCTTAGAGTGCGTCTTTCTGAGATGAACAATTTGCCCTCAGCTCTGATGTACATTTAAGTGCCCCCATTTGAATATCCATAGTGTGTGAAAACAACTTCGGCCAAAGAGGTTAATGCCAAGTAAAAGCCTTGCTTTACCCAACTGCTGACCCTGACAGTGTTGATCTTGCTTCAGAGATAGTAGGAACTGCAGATGCTGGAGAATCTGAGATAACAAGGTGTAGAGCTGGATGAACACAGCAGGCCAAGCAGCATCGGAGGAGCAGGAAGGCTGACGTTTCGGACCTAGACCCTTCTTCAGAAATGTTGATCTTGCTCTGTTATAACTGGCAGAACTGTGTACATTTTCATGGATTATGAGGTTATATATTGCATGATAAATGAGGTGGAACTTGTGGATATAATTTACCTAGAATCATGGAATTACCAAATGGCCACAGCACAGAAGGCGGCCATACGGTCTATTAAGCCCATGCCATCTCTTTGCAAGAACACTAAAACTCTCTCTCCTGTCCTTTCCTTATAGCCTTGCAAAGTTTTTCCTTTAGGTGCCTAGGTCTTTTGTATTTATCTACACCAACTTCCATGTTAACTCCCACTGTGCAAAATGAATTTGATTCACGAAACATCTAGAAGCACAAACTGTGCATAAATGAGGCACACCAACAGCGGTAAGATTGTTTTCAACCACAATCAGTATTCTCATGGCCCAGCACATCTCTCACTCTAGCATTAACATCAAGCAAGAGGATCAATAAAGAGTGCAGGAGGGCAAGTCAGGAGCACCACTAGGCATACCTAAAAATGAGGTATCAACTTGATAAAGCTACAACATGGGACTGCTTGTGGGTCAACAGTGGAAGCAGTGAGTATTTGAGTAATAGAGTGATCCTACAACCAACAGATTAGTTTAAAGCTCTGTTATTTTGACACATTCAGCTGAAAATAGTGGTGGCCAATCAAACAACTAACCAGAGGAGAAGGTGCCACAAATATCCTCAGCCTCAATGATGGGAGAATCCAGTACATCAGTACAAAAGGCAAGGCTGTATCTTCAGCCAGAAGCATCAAGTGGATGATCCATCCCAGCCTCCTGCTGAGGATCCCATATCACACATGTCAGTCTTCAGCCAATTTAGTTCACCCCATGTGATATCAACAAACAGTTGAACACACTTGATACTGCAAAGGCTATAGGCTTTGACAACATTTTCGCAATAGTACTGAAGAAATGTACTCCACAACTAGCCATGCTCCTAGCCAAGCTGTTAAGCTGTTCCAGTACAGCTGCTGCACAGTGACACTGCAAAACAAAAAATGCTCAGGTACGTTTCGTCCACAAATAGCTGGACAACCACCAACCCTCCCCCACCCCTCACCCCTATCCCTGCCCCAGCTAATTTCATCCCATCAAGGTGAAACTGTCAATAATTGGCAATGGTATAGAAGGTGCTGTCAACTGTACTATCAAATAGCACTTACTCAATAACTCTGCTTTATCTCCGCAGATACTGTCAGACCTGCTGAATTTCTCCAGCAATTTGTTTTTGTATTGACCATAAATCAGTTTGATGGTATGGTGATTATATACATGTCAGACTATCAGGTTTAGAATTACAATCAATTCATCCAGATTTCTTTAGTCAATAAAGAATAACCAGCTTATTAAGAATAAAGCTTACTCAAACAAACATGTAAAAGTTATTGGCACTAAAAGATTTAGACTACGCAGTAATAGACATAAATTATATTCTAACACCTCGAACTTAACATGAGGCAAAAAGGAGCAACAGATAAACAATGGTCTAACACACTATAGAATATATCAAAGAACAATTGTAATTGAGACAGATTGCATGGATTGCTCAGCAACATATCCACTTCCTCCTCATTTGCTCGTGGCAGTGTGGATCACCAATCTCACTGAAACTTCAGTTTTGACTAACCGGCCTTGAAACTGCTTTGAGCAGCTCATTCACAGACTACCCCATTGACTGTTCATGTTCTGGTATTTCACCTTCCTTTCCTGGGTCTACGCTCGTCTGTATTCTGGAAACTGCACTCATAAGATGACTGCAGCTGATGGCTAATTCTACCAAGGTAGTGCTGGCCCTGGCAGAGTGAGTTCCAATCTGGCTCAGTTGCTCCGATCCCAGGTGTGAGGGACTGTCCTATGAGTAGAAGTTGAGTAGACTGGGCATGTACTCATTGGTGTTTAGAAGAATGAAAGGCAACCTTATTGAAACATACAAGATTCTTAGGGGAGTTGATAGGCTAGATGAGGAGAGGTTGTTTCCCCTTGTGGCGGAGTCTAGGACCAGAGGGGATAATCTTAGAACAAGGGGGTCACCTATTTAAGACAGATGGGAGGACTTTTTCTCTAAAGATAGTGAATCTGTGGAATTCTGTACCACAAACGGCTGTAGAGGTCAAGTCGTCAAGTATATTCAAGGCTCAGATAGCTAAATTTTTAATCAGTAAGAGAATTAAGACTTGCAGGGAATTTAATACAATGGCATGAGAGGGTTATGAGGATAAGTCAGGAAAGTAGAGTTGAGGACTATGAGATAGTCATGATCTCATGTAATTCAAAGCAGACTTGACAGGCTGCATACCCTATTTTTGCTGCTAAAGTATTATGGTTTAACATCCTTTCTGTTAGGAGAGATACAATGATCCAAATGATTGTTTTCAGTCTGCAATAAGATAATTGCTTCTCTTTCCTTTTCTTGTATTGCATCATGACTCTGGCCCAAACTCTTAAGCTATCTTTTCTCCCCACAGATGCTGGCTGATGCACATGAATTCATTTATTTTCTGTTTTCACTGACCTTAATGACTGCAATCTGCAATAAGAATTCTTCATGGCTACGCACAGTTGTTTCATTGCCACATCACTGACTTCAGTATTTTCCAGGCTGAAAAATTTAAAACCATTCTGATCAAAACTAATTCTCAGGTAGATCCTTCATTTCGAATTAAATCCAACACAAAGGTGTTTGATCAAGTGTCACACAAAATACTTTTAAACAGTAAAGCTTTGAGTTTCAAGGTATGGAGATCAGCATGAATAAGAAATTAGCTAAGGGACAATTAGAGAATTTTATATTATTTGTTCATAGGTTGTGGGCATCACTGGCAGCATTTATCACCCATCCTGAATTGCCATGGAACTGAATGGCATGGTAAAAAAAAATTTAAAGAACTGCAGATGTTGGAAATCAGAAACAAAATTGCCTGGAAACTCAGCAGCTCTGGTACAATCTGTGGAGAGAAAGCAGAGTTAACATTTCGGTTCCAGTAACCTTTCTTCAGAAATGAGTTTGTGAATGGTATGGTAGGCCATTTCAGAATCTGGAGTCGCATGTAGACTGGACCAAGTAAGGATAGCAAATTTCCTTCCCCAGAAGAGCATTAGTGAACCAGTGGGGTTTTTACAACTATGGTTAAATGGTCATCATTAGGCAAACTTTAATTCCAGATATTTACTGAATTCAAATTTCTCTATCTGCCAGAGTGGGAGTTGAATCCATGTACCCCTGGACATTGCGATGACTAGCCCAGTGACATGACTACTATGTCACCATTCTCTTTGGATTTTTGAGTCCATGAAATTAAGTTCAATATAGCTGGGCAATTTACATTCAGTAATGAGATAGTCAGTGTAAAAAATCTATTATCAGAAAGGCTGCCCATGAAAGGTTTGTCGTTAAAACGTATTTATTTCATAATGTCCATTTCTCCCTGGCCTATGTAAGACTCCAGATCCATGTCAGTGAAGCGGCTGAATTTTTACTGCCTTCTAAAGAGATTCAACAAACCATTCAGCTGCAACAAAACTGCTGCAGTCTTCAGGACAGCGCAGAGGCTCAGTGATTAGCACTGCTGCCTCACAGCACCAGGGGTCTGGGTTCAATTCCAGCCTTGGGTGACTGCCTGTGTCTGTGTGGGCTTCCTCCAAATGTTTTTCTCTCAAAGTCCATAGACGTGCAGGCTTGGTGGATTAGCCATGGGAAATGCAGGGTTATAAGGTCGGGATGTGGGATGCACTTTGAAGGGGTGGTGTGTTCTTGATGGACCAAATGGCCTGCTTCCACGCTGTAGAGATTCTATGATTCACCACGCAAACTGCAGTTGTTCAAGTTGGCAGCTCAGCCCCCTGCTCAACAGGGACAAGTCGGGGTGAGAAAATAAATGCTATCTTTTCCAGCTTTGGTCACAACTTTGAATGAGCAAAATAAGAAAACTCAAATCCTTAGGCAATATAGTAACATTGATTTCAGGAGGACATAAGCAAGCAAGCAAGTAAACAGGCCATATAGTAGATCAAACTGAATGCAAAACAAATTTCTAACAAATGAATGTGACCTGCACTAAACAAGCCTCCACAATGCTATCCCTGCCACCAAAACCAATGTCAAGTACTTTACAAAGAAGCTAATGGTTGCTGCAAATTGATGGCTGAGCACATAAACAAAGGTTTCTCAAAATGTGCCTCTTTAATCCAGCATTTTTCATATTAATGTTCCTTATAACCAGAGCTCCATATCTATGGCTTCTATATCCAAGCCTTGTGTATTGTATGATCCCCTATGACCAGACGTCATATACTGAAGATTCCTCTCTCCTGATTATGTTCCAACAAGTCCAGTTACCAAGTGTTTGAAAACTATTATTTGATGGGCTCTTATATATACAAAGCTTTCTGATGAAGGGTCATAGACTCCCCCTGCGGCCCAACAAGTCTGCACCGACCCTCAGAGCATCCCACCTCGATCCATTCCCCCTATGACCCAACTAATCTACACATCCCTGAACTCTATGGGCAATTTCACATGGCCAATTCACCTAGCCTGCACATCTTTGGATTGTGGGAGGAAACCAGTGCACCCAGAGGAAACCCATGCAGAGAAGGGGAGAATGTGCAAACTCCATACAGTCAGTCACTAGAAGTTGGAATCGAATTCGGGTTCCTGGCACTGTGAGGCAGCAGTGCTTACCACTGAGCCACCATGCGGTTATTATTGGAATCACTACGTAACTGATATGAAATTCATGGTAACCATTGCCTGACCAAAGAGAGCTTGATTTCCCACTTATCAATTAAAGTCATAGAGTCATTGAGCTGTATAGCATGAAACCAGGCCCCTTTGGTCCAACTCATTTATGCCGACTAGATATCCTAAATAAATCTAGTCCCATTTGGCCCATACTCCTCTAAACCCTTCCTATTCATATACCCATCCAAATGCCTTTTAAATGTTGTAATTGTACCAGCCTCCATCACTTCCTCTGGCAGCTCACTCCATACATGCACCACCCTCTGCATGAAAAAGTTGCTCCTTAGGTCCCTTTTAAATCTTTCCCCTCTCACCTTAAACCTATGCCCTCTAGTTTTGGACTCCCCCACCCAGGGAAAAGACCTTGTCTATTCACCGTATCCATGCCCCTGATGATTTTATAAACTTCTATAATGTCATTCCTCAGCTTCCGATACCCCAGAGAAGGAAAACAGCCCCAGCCTATTCAGCCTCTCCCTATAGCTCAAACCCTCCAACCCTGGCAACATCCTTGTAAATCTTTTCTGAACCTTTTCAAGTTTCACAACATCCTTCCTACAGCAGAGAGACCAGAATTGCAAGCAGTATTCCAAAAGTGGCCTAACCAATGTCATGTACAGCTACAACATGATCTCCCAACTCGTATACTCTATGCACTGACCAATAAAGGCAAGCATACCAAACACCTTCTTCACTATCCTGTCTACCTGGGACTCCAATTAACGGTTACCAGTTGAAAGCCAATGTAATGTAAAGGCATGAACATTGATGTAATTATGCACCTACACAGACTACAGCAGGTAACTTTGCATTTATTCAAACAACCTCAGAGAGTAGGTCCGTCTTAAACTAGGTAAAACAGAATTCTGTCTAACATTGTGTCCAAATCTGCCCAGCTCTGTCCCACTCTATCCAGTCTCTGTCCCATATATACAAAAAACCATCAACCTTTATGCTTTGAGACAACAAGGTGCAGAGCTGGATGAGCACAGCAGGCCAAGCAGCATCATAGGAGCAGAAAGGCTGACATTTCAGGTCTAGACCCTTCATCAGAAAAATTTTTTCTGATGAAGGGTCTAGGCCCGAAACGTCAGCCTTTCTGCTCCTATGATACTGCTTGGCCTGCTGTGTTCATCCAGCTCTGCACCTTGTTGTCTTGGATTCTCCAGCATCTGCAGTGCCTACTATCTCTGATTCAACCTTTATGCTCTCATTATCACAAATGCATTATTTACATTTAATTCTTGAATAATAAACACAAAGTTTCTATCCTGGGTCTTCCTCTTATCATGTCTACAGGAATCTGTTTATACTCTGTGGACTGCTCTCAAGGCTGATTCGGGCCTTATTGTGTACAAGGTGCCTCTCCAGTAATTTCTGCTGACATAGATCCTTAGGCTCTCAAGGTCCATTCCTGCCAAGATGTACCTTACAGTACTAACTTGTAAGGCATCATCTTACTCCTGTTGTAACACCTGTTTATAAAATCATATTTAATTCCCACTGCAACACTGTGCATTTGAACTGATACCAAATTGAATTCCTGGTCATTTGAGATTGCGAAGATGCCTAGAACAAGTTCAATCAGACTCATCAAGCATTCAGTGCTGAAATGTACCCAGCACCCACAATGGTGTTAATATCTGATTTTATGTCAAAATATTCAATGGGAGCTGGAAGACTACACCCGCTTCTAGTCATTGGATTGTACCCATTCAATTCCAGACACGTTTTTGCACAGCTTATTCATTCTCAGGCAGGAACTTTACTAACACACTAACCTGAAATCTGCTCAGGTTTATCTAGTTTAAAATGCTTCAATGTATGATCAAGAATGAGCCTTATAACTTGACAAACTGTTCCTTATCTTTTTAAACCTAGCCAAGTGTTGTTTCTTATCATTATTCAGTCGGGTGAATTCATTTTGCATTTTCCTCAATACTTTATTCTAATCCTGGGATTGAATCTCTACATGCTCAATTATCCTGCCATCATTCCTCTGCCCTTCAGAATTGTGATATAAATTCGAACAGAGGACATTCTCTCCCCATTGACCTTAATTTATAAAATTACAGTGATCTTAACCCAAAATCACTTAAAGTAGGGAACTGACTTTAATTCAAAAGTAAATGTAGTGTGGTGTACAGTTATGGAAGGAGAACCGGGGCACCACCACCATATCATTTCACAAGCTTAAAAGACTGTCATCCTCTTACCAAAGTTCCTGAACTTGACTTTTGGATAAAATCAGAAGAGCTTCGAGAAAGTTCACCAGGTGCTTTGTTACATCTTTTTGAACTAACCTGATGTTGCAAAAAATGAAAATTAAATATAATGTATATTTATCAAAGTTAAAACCCACAGTCATAAAATAATGATTGCATTAAAATAGCCACTGAAGTTATATCCTTTGAATTAACGCATTAAAATTAATAGCTTAGCATTATGCTTCAAATATCTTACTGCATTAATAAATATCCTGATTTCAATTTCAACTGGATTGTTCTTCCCTTAAAATTGAAGAGAAGTTTTTTTTAAATTTGAAGCCAACAATTGAAGGATCCCTGGACTCAAAATGTTAATTCTGCTTTCCATCTACAGATTCTGCCAGACCTGTTGAGTTTCTCCAAAATGATTTCTAGATTTTTCTTGAATTGAAGGCCTTCATTTGTTTTATCTGTAATATCGTGTTTACTTGGATTATTCTTGTATAATTCTGTTTGCATTTGCAAGGAGTAGTGGAGGAAATTGTAGCCATATCTGGGACCATATCCATAAATGTTAAAACGGTAAGGGATGAGGAAATGGTAAAAATGCAAGAAGGATAAATTTCTTTTTCGTTGTTTAACTCATCAGTGCCTGTAGTGATTGAAATGAATTTAGCCAGGTGAACCTCATAGAATACAAGTTCCTAGATTGGGGCTGTTAATCTGGTCTAATCAGGGAGCCCTGCATGACAAATATAAACAGGAGTGTCAGAGGTTCTGTTCACTCTTAGAGAGCTTGGTCAGTGTCAAGGACTTTACATGTTTAAATAAAGAGTGACTTGGTTATGAGATAACAGCCTCTGTGGAGTTATTTCAGTGGCAATGAGAGAAATGCACGTTTCTGAAGACATTTGCTCACAACAGTCGTCTTTGAGTTGTGGTAAGCATTTCTGGCATCATGCTTTTTTGGGAAGCTTGACTCATTCCAGCTTGCCATCGAAAACTGGGCCCAGTATGTGGAAAGAATGCATTATTTTTTTCTGTGCAAATGACATTGGAGTAGATGAAAAGCAACAGGTAATTCTCCCAACAGCTTGTGGACCCATAGCTTTCTTGGTTATTAGGAACTTTCCCTGAGACATCTTTTAAGTATTGACAGATTTAGTTAAGAAATATTATGACCCACCCAAGCCTCCTCTAATTCTGAGGCACTATCAGTTTTACTCGGCAATTTGAAAACCAGTTGAAACCATATCAAGATTTTTGACCAGGTTAAGACAACTGGCAGAGGCATGTGACTTTGATTTAACCCTTAATGAGATGCTGAGAGACCATTTGGTATGTGGGATTAATGTTGTTACCATGTAAAAGCACCTAATTGGTGAGGCCTAACTGGACTTCAAACTGGCACTATAATTGGCTTTATCATTGGAAAATGTGGCATGTGGAGCAAATGAGTTGCATGGTATTCCAATAGAAATTGACACCCTTGCCAGTCTGATTGAGCTTGGGGAACACCAGTTGCATGAAGGCAATTGCATAGCCTCACTCAGAACATATCCTGAACAGAGGGGCTCTAGGTCAGTTCACAGCAAAACTCCAAAACAAAGCCAACCCTCACCCAAATGGTTAAAATTTTCTTCAGGATCCAGGCTGGCAAGCCATTGTAATTGTTTCTGGTATGCAGGCTCGAGAAAGAAAAGAGTCTCAAGACCTAAACTGAATATGAGAACTTATAAATCAGTATCCAGGAGAATGCACACCTTGGAAAGTCCACCAGCATCTTGTTTGGAACAGTTAAATTGCTTAAGCAACATCCAAATCAGAACCAATCAAAATGGTCTGGTTAAATGGTCACCGTTTCTCATGGAGGTCGATACCAGTGCCGCTGTATCAGTGTTTAACAAGACTTTTACAAAATCGCTCTGCACTCCAACCATTAGGTTTGCTCAAGATCTTGGTTAGACCGCAAACCTATACTGGGAAACGTTCAGATTAAGGATACAACTTCCATTCTGGTCTCCTATAAGAAACACTGATGCAGTTACTACTGATTGTAGTAAAAGGCTTGGGTCCAAGCTTAATTGGGCGAAATCAGTTGAGAAAGATTCACATAAATTGGCTTAAGATTTTTTGATTAGAAAATGGCTGCATGAATGAAGTCCTAATTAAATACCCAGGAGTTTTTCAGGAAGGTCTAGGGAATATCAAAGGAGCCAAGGCCATCTTGTACGTTGACCAGGAAGCAATTCCACAATTCTGCAAGGCCTGCCCATTGCTATTTGCCTTACGGGCAGAAGTAAAGGCAGAAATCAGAATTCTGGAAAGTGAAGGAATCATCCAACCAGTCCAGTTTGTGGAATGGGTAACACTGGTCGAACCCCAATTGTGAAGACCAAAGGTTCACCTTTGAGGGGATTTTAAATAAATGGTAAACCACTTTTCACAGCTGGATAACTACCCAATGCCTTGCAAGGAGGACTTACATACAAAGCTGGCAGGGGACTGTCCTTCACAAATCTTGACATGAGCTATGTGCACTTGCAATTGTGGTTAAATCGAGATTCCCACAAGTATACTACCAATGTATGAGACTGTCATTTGGGGTATCATGAGCCTGTGCAATTTTTCAGCGGATGATGGAGAACATTCTATAAGGTCTGTCCCTGGTTGCCATTTATCTAGATGACATGCTATTAACTGGGAAGACCAATAAGGAACGCCTAAAAAACTTGGATATAGTCCTTGGGCATTTCTCCCAGATGGGTGTACACCTTAAGAGGGAAAAAATATGTGTTCCAGGCACCCCAAGTGACCTACTCCAGCTGCAGAATCAACAAAACCGGGTTACACCCATTGGAAGATAAAGTGAGGGTGATCAAAGGTGCCCCAGCTCCCCCATCAGTACTGGAGCTTAGGTCTTTCAGTGGCCTGGTGAATTATCACAGAAAGTTCATACATAACCTGGCCCCCATCCTGGCAGTTTTGCATCCACTCTGAAAAAAGGGTCACCATCAGAAATGGTCACATAGTCAAGACATAATTTTCAGGAAAGTGAAGAAACAGCTATCATCCTCTAAGGGATTGGTACATTATGATCCTAAGCAAGAGCTGGAATTGACACGCATAGGTGGCCCAATGGAGAGGAACGCTGAGTAGCGTATGCTTCCAGGATTTTTGCTCATGCGGGGCATAAATGTGCCCAGGTAGAGAAGGAAGGTTTAACGATGATATGTGGAGCCAGGAAGTTCCATCAATACCTTTTTATGTAATTTTTTATAACAATAACAGACCATAAACACCTACTAGGTCTATTTAAAGAAGACAAGTCAGTGCTGCCCATAGCTTCAGGCTGAATTCAGCGGTGGGCTCTAATGCAAGTTGGAACACCGTCCGGGATGCATTAAGCCGCCTCTGGCTGGCAGATACACCAGCAGTGATACCACCAGGGGAAGAGTCTGTAATGGCTTTAAATTTTCTGGACATTCTTCCAGTCACAGATAAGTGGCCATTGCTTCCCAGTAGGGAATTTGAGTATTTCCTAAAGTTGAATGGTATTCGTCATATAAATACAGTTCCATTCCATCTATCATCCAATGGTCCAGCAGAAAGAGCAGTCCAAACTTTGAAGGCAAGCTCAAAGAAACAACCTACATTGTCACTGGATACCAAAATGTCCTGGTTCCTATTTGATTATAGGACCACCCCTCATGCAACTACAAGGATAGCTCCAGCAGAATTGCTAATGGGGAGAAGACTCTGCACCAGGTTAAATCTGATATGCCTGGTGCGTTGGGGGAGGGTGAAATGGCATCAGGAATGCCAGTGCTGGACATAACGCTCTACTAAGCAAGAGAGACAGTTCACTTCAGGGGACACAGTTTGGTGGACAAAGCATGGGAATGGTCCCCGCGTTGGTTAAAAGGCACAGTGACATATAAAATTCAGGTAGGTGTGACAGTCCTGAACAAGCACATGTATCAAATGAAAGCTGCAAACTCGCAAACAGTGCAAGAGCAAAATGTGCCAGTCTCCTCAACTGTCATTCCATCTGTTCCAGAACCTGTGGGTTCTCCCTCTCCATCAATTGTTGAAGATACCTGAGATAGAATCTGAGATGGACATGGCAGGTATCGCCACCATGATGCTTTTGCCACCTGAAGCGGAGAATGAATTTCTTTTGAGATGCTCCAGCCGCAAGAGGGAAGCCACTGTATGTTATGTGCCACCCATATCAGTGGCAGTGTTGGAGGAACCTGACCCAGTGATAGAATGTTTGAGGAGGAGCTACAAAAGAAAGAACTGGATTCACAGGGGGAAGGATATATTGATTACAATGAAGTCAGCCAGGTGGGCCTCATAGAATATGAGTTCTCTGATTGGGGCTGTTAACCTGGTCCAATCAAGATGCCCCGGCTGACTGATAAGAATAGGTGTGTCAGAAGTTCTGTTCAATCTGAGAGCTGGATGAGTGTCAAGGATTCTCTATGTGTAAATAAAGAGTGACTTGGTGACAGGATACCAGTCTCTGTGGAGTCATTTCAATAACAGTTTTCCAATACAGTAGGAAGTCTGAAAACTGAACAACACTGCGAGGATCTTTTGTACATTTGCAATTTCAGCAAACCTCTGGTCTAGTACACTCCAGAGTTAACTAAAAATACACATAAAAGCAAATTAGTAACACATAGCATGCAAGTTAATATACCTAGACCCAAGCACATTATTTCCGTACCAGGGAAAATCAGAAATCAATGGACTATAGCCTACTTTACCACCATAGAAGAGTTTCACTCCATGATATGTTCCAACATGACAAGATATTAAAAAACTTAACCTAATTGTAATTCCCAGTGCGACTTCAGAATAATTTATGACTTCAGAAACAGAAACAAAGGAAATCTCTCAATTACATTTATAATTGTGTGAAAATGGATGTTGATATTACGCAACTGGTATAAAACAGTTGATATTAACAGAAGTGATATTAATTGTACATACAATTGTGTGTGTACATACAAAAGGATGATAAGGTCCTTTAATTCAAATTGCGAGAGAAATTACGTACTTCACTGTTCTGAATAGTTTTGCAACAGGCAGCAACCTCCAGAGCAGTTCATCAGACACGTTGTAATCTGCTATATTGAACTCCTGCATGTCAGAGTTAGATGTTTGAAGCACAAATGCTATGGCCGAATATTCATCTGATTCCAGGTCTCGAGTGGCCAGAGCTCCCTCCCTTAGCGATTCCTTCAGTTTGTCAGCTATACAGCCATCGTTTAGCTCATTTAAGCAATAGAACAGGTTCAGGCATCGTTCCGGAGCAATGTCCCTGTGTAAAGTTCTCTTGATGTAGGCTGCAGTCCGTATGGCATCCTCACCACTGCTCGCCTCCTGGCTTGACAGACCCTGCAAAAGTTGCAGGTTCTTTTCAGTTGAGAGACCACAGAGGAAGCGGAGGAACATATCCAGGTGCCCACTTTGGCTCCATGCTGCTTTCTTGCATGCACTTCTGCAAACATCAGAAAAGCTGGGACGGGAGAACAGGCCTCGCACCTTCGTCATCAGCCCCTTTGCTAGTGGGTTTGGGTGCTGGCCCATGTGGTGCTGAAGGAAAACATATAGGGCAGCAAAATACTCCTGCAGCGTCAGGTGTATGAAGGCATAAGCCTTGTGCTGAAAGATGGGCTCGTCCTGCAGAAGGATCTCTTTGCAAAAGCCATCGCATAGCAAAGACAGGTCCACCCTAAATGACTCCAGGTCCTTTTGACAGAAGACCAGCTTCTGGCCTTTCAAACAGTGGAAAGCCAACCTCCCCAGGCTGAGAATGACTGGGCGCTTGGCTTGCAGCAAGTCACTAATCTTCTCCCTCTCAGTTATCCCGTGGCTCTGCTTATCTTGGTGGTACATTATCATCACAATCAAGAAGTTGCTGTAGACCTCAGTGATGGTTCTGGGGGTGTGCTGGTGGATTTCTGTCTCGCTGTAAGATTTCATAGCATGTTGCAGGATGGTAGCCAGAATCCAACAGAAAGCTGGGACATAGCACATGGTGAAAAGGCTGGGTTGCCTCATCACATTGGACAGAATCATGTCTGCTTTTCCTTTGCACTTTTTGCGAAAGTATTCCACTTTCTCTTCATCCCGAAACCCTTGAATTTCTGTCAGTCGGTCAATATAAGCAGCTGGGATTTGGCGGGCAGCTGCAGGACGGGCCGTTATCCAAACAGAGGCATGGGAAAGCACATTTCCTTTAATTAAATTGACGAGGAGAACACGGGGTTTCATCGCGTGCTCGATGTCAGCATATTCTGGGCTCTTATTAAAATCCAAGCAGAGACGACTTTCATCTAAGCCATCAAAGATGAAGAGACATTTGATATTGGGATCCTTTAACAGGGTTGCTGTGTCCTCAATGTGAGGGTAATACCTCTGGACCAGCTGGCAGACGCTGAGTTTACTTTCCGGCAGCAGATTGAGTTCTCTGAACGGAAACATGAACAGAAAGTCAAAGTCCAAGGCCGCTGAGCCACTACTCCAGTCATAAACAAACTTATACACACAGATGGTTTTCCCAATTCCCGCCAATCCCTTAGTTAAGGTGATCCTCGGTGGCCGGGATTCATGCTGTGAACAGAGGAATATTTCTGTGTAGTCAATGGAACGGGCACCAGACTTCTCCTGCCTGGACATGGCTTCAATATCCATCACCTCATGTCTTTGGGGAATCGAGTTGCAGTCGCCTTCGGTTATCCATAGGTTGGTGAAATTCTCCATTATCAGGATCTTTTCACCAGGCTTACTTGTGTATTCAGTGATGTACTGGACTTTTGCCCTCAATACCTTCTTGTGATTATCAATAACTCCTGCGATGTCCACAACGTCCCTTAACATTTGTCGGCTTTCTGTTAGGAATGGCACAGGAAAACAAAAACATTTTTTAAAAGGAAGGATGTTCCTAGCACAAGGGAGACACAGTTTCAAAATAAGGGCTCTACTATTTGAGGTATACATGAGGAGACTTTTTTTTCAGAGGGTAGCTCACAAAGAGATCCAGAGAATCATAGAATCCCTACAGTATGGGCAAAAAGGCCACACTGACTCTCGAAAGATATCCCACCCAGACTCAACCCCCTACCGTATCCTACGGCTAATCCATGCAACCGACAAACAATGGGCAATTTCCTATGGCCAATCCACCTAACCCGCACATCTTTGATCTGCAGGAGGAAACCGGCGCACCCTGAGATAACCCACGCAGACATGGAGAGAACGTGGAAACTCCATACAGACAGTCACTGGAGGCTGGAATTGAACCGGGATCCCTGATGCTGTGAGGCAGTAGTGCTAAACATTGTCCCACCATGCCACCCCTTTTTAAAAAATTATTCTCTCACTTTTCTCATAAACTTTCCACTTCTGCCCTCTTGTAGATTTATGTTGAAATCAAATTCCACCATCTGTCATAACAGGGTTTGAACCCTAGTCCCTAGACCTTCACCTGGGCTCTGGATTAACAGTCTAGCAGTAATACCAATAGACCATCACCTCCCATTAACATTACTGCAAGAGTGGAAGCAAGGTTATGATGATTTTCAAGGTGGGGTGGATATATTCTGGGCTAACAAGAGAGTCAAAGGGTATCAGATGTAGGTGGGGGAAGAAGCGTCATGATCAAATGGTGACGGACATTCAAGAGACCAAATGGCCTACTTCTGTTCCTAATTTGTATGTTTGTCATGTCTATCATGAATTCTGTTCAACTTTACATTGATTGTAGATAGTTCATTTTTATCTTGTATTCTATGATACTTTAGACCAGCAAAGTTACCAGAAGGTTTGGGTTTGATTGTCAAGATTCTGCAGCCAAATAACAAGTGAACAACAGCAGTTGAGTCAATGTATTTAAAAAGCAGTAAAGGGTTTATCTAGGAATCATAATTAGTATGGAGGTAGACTGGAAGACAGGAGGGCCTGGAGATGGGCAGCAGCATCTAAAGAAGCTATCCAGCCTTGTAGAATCAATTCAATAAATGGGGATAAATATGATTACAGAACTATATCTGAAACTCAGTGGTCTATGCAGTAGAATAACTTTTGATTCACAGGGCACTGGCACCAGTACTTAGGAAAGTGGGAGCTGTAATGTTGTAATGGTCTGCACCATGCTGGGACTGGTGAGCTTTAAACCTAATAGTGAGACAGGAAGTGAAGTCTGGAAAGATATGATAAATGAAAGAAGGAAAAGACGGCAACTGAGCAAGGTGGCAATAAGGACAGTATAATCAGTTTGGCAGGAAGGACAGAGTGCACAAACTTGAGAGTATGGTAGCAGATAAGACCAAAGATTGCAAAAATGTTTTTTTTTAAACACATAGTAAAAGGCTCTGGATCTGAATACACATTGCATTCATAATAAATCAGATTAATTAACAGCTCAAATGTAAATAAGTATGATCTGATAACCGTTACAGTGACGAGACTGCAAGATGGCAAGGGCAGGGGAATGAATATTCAAGAACACGTGACATTTCAGAAGCTGGAGAAGCTAGGAAGTGGTTGAGGATGACAGTCGTAAAATAGATGACCTTGGCTCTAAAGATCAAGTGTAGAAGCAGTATGGATAAGAAACAGTAAAGGTACGAACTCCATTGTGGGAGTTGTGTATAAACCTTCTGATGTCAATCACTGTGTAGGATGGAATATACAAAAGTAAATAATGTGGGTTTCTGAGAAAGGTATGTGCATAGATTGGACAAATCAGACTGGAAAATATAGCCTGGAATATGAATTATTACAGTGTTTCCAAGACAATTTTATACAGCAGATTATTGGAGCCAACTAGAGAGCAGGGTTAGTCTAGATTTCATAACGTACAATGAGACAAGATAAAATAATTACCTCATAGTTTAGGCATACTTAAATACTGATCATAATATGATTGAACTTTGCATTCAGTTTGTTGGAAAGAAGACTGAGTCTGAGAATTATCTTCCAAAATTAAACAAAGGCAATTATGAGTTTATAAAGAGAACTAACAAAAGTGGATTGGCAAACTGCAGAGTGAATCCAGGAAATTATTCATGTTTAAAAGGAAATGGCTAATAAATTGAACAGATATTTTGCATCTTCTGCCTGTAAAAGATTCACATAATATTCTATTAATAAATGACCATAAAAAGATGAAAAGGAGGGACAAACTTAACATTGCTGCAACAACCATGGGAGGGGATACCCAGAAAAGGAAAACAGATTGTCAATTCCCAAGACATGTCCCAAGACAAGCCATATCATAGGATCTTAAAGGAAGTGGCTGCTAGAACAGTAAATGAGTTGATTGCAATTTTCCAAGATTCTCTAGATTCTACAAATGTCCCATTAGATTGGAAAATGATAATTGTAGCATCTCTTGTTCATAAAAAAGGATTAATGAGGGTCGAGCAACAGATGTCATTGCCATGGAATTTAGTAAAGCACTAGACAATGTCCCACTTGGCAGATGTGTTAGAAAAAATTGAAAACCCATTAAATGTTGATTTTTCCATTGATATGGTATTCTGGTGAATTAGCCTGATGAGCGCATGGCAAAAAGCTCTGCAGCAGTGTGTGTTTTTTGTGGAGTGCTGAATGTCCTGTGTTCTGTTCTAAATTCAATCCAACCAACAGTCAGAGACTTTGAGGAAGACCCGACGTTTGGCTCAAACTTATGAGCTGACCTCGAACCCATTTGCCCGCAAGTTGATATGACATCACCAAAGCAGGTGGTGCTGATCCCACTCCTCAGTAATAACCCTTTTAGAGCTATGCATAATATTTCCTGCCAAGCTATTTCTTCTATTATTAGTATTATACATTTGTATGTATACTTACAGTGACCACTACCCCACCTCCCCAACCCCAAGTCAGTGACTTTACAAATTCAGATGTTTCGGCCCATCATGTCCTTGCCAGTCATCAAACATCAGCCTATCCTAATCCCGTTTTTCAGCACTTTCATCATAGCCTGCATGATGTTTCAAGTGCTCATTTAAATAGTTCATAAATGTCCTGAGAATTCCTGCCTCTTTCATCCTTTCAGACAGTGAATTCCTAATACCAACAAGCCTCTGAGTGAAATATTTTTCCCTCAAAACTCCTTAAACCTCCTGCTCCTTACCTTAAAGCCATGCCCCTTGGTAATGACTTCTGTAGCAGCCTCCTGGCTGTTAAAACACAGATGGCCAACTTGGCCAAACAGCAAGAAATGTGGGGTACATTGACCAGGTAAAACACTGAAGTCACTAAACAGTCACTAAAACACCAGACACAGTGCAAACACAGCACCCAGATGCTAATGAGGTTAGCAGAATATGAAAGGCAACAGTTACCCTGAACAGACATATCCCCAACAACTTATCCACCAAATAAAGGAGTGCTCCGGCAGAAAGTCACTGGATCCTGCTACGCTAAAGAATAAACTGGAGCAAGCCATCCAAATGATTGACAATGTTTCAAATTATTAAGTGAGTTTCCCTGATTGGCCAGAACCATAGAAAGTTCCAGAAAACCATCCCAAAAGGTATAAAAACAGTGTTCACCTGTAAGTTAATTTCTTGCACCTTCTGGAGGCCTTTCAACAAGATAAACATGGCAAAAGTTGGAGACCAGCTGACCATCCGGAGAGAGATAATGAGAAGGGAAGAGAGAAATAACACACTGTGGAGCTGGAAGAACACAGCAGGCCAGGCAGCATCAGAGGAGCAGGAAAGTTGACGTTTTGGGTCGGGACCTTTCTTCAGAAATGGGGAGGGGGAAGGGAGCTCAGAAATAAATAGAGAGAGGAGGGGTGGGGCTGGGGAAGGTAGGTGGGATGGTGATAGGTATGTATAGGTAGGCAGTGGTAGGGATTGGTCAGTGAGGTGGGAGTGTTGGCTAGGTGGGAGAGAAGATGGACAATTTGTGTCAGGGCAAGGAGGCAGGGATGAGAGGGAGGATTAGTCATGGAATGAGGCAGGGGATGGGGAGATTTTGAAACTGGTAAAGTCCACATTGAGACCATTGGGTTGTAGGCTCCCAAGGCAGAATATGAGGTGCTGCTCCTCCAGTTTCCGGGTGGCGTAGTTGTGACACTGGAGGAGGCCCAGGATGGACATGTCTGCCAGGGAGTAGGAGGGAGAGTTGAAATGGTTCGCGACTGGAAGGTGTTGTCTTTTGTCGCGAAGAGCGCAAGTGCTCTACAAAGTGGTCTCCAAGCATCCGCTTACCTTGAATCTCTCTTCTCCCCCCAGTCCAGGAACTCCCCACCTACATCTGGGACACCACCCACTCCCTCCAAGGCTTCCAATTCCCTGGCCCCTAAAATCTTCACGATGGAAATCCAATCCCTGTACACTTGCATTCCCCAAGCGGATGGCCTAAAAGCATTCCGCTTCTTCCTCTCCCGCAGGCCCAACCAGTCCCCCTCCGCCAACTTTGTAATCCACTTAACCAAACTCGTCCTTACCCTTAACAACTTCTCCTTCAACTCCTCCCACTTCCTACAGACTAAGGGGGTGGCCATGGGAACCTGCAGGGGCCCAAGCTATGCCTGCCTCTTTGTAGGATACATGGACCAGTCCATCTTCCGCAGCTACACTGGCACTATCCCCCACCTCTTCCTCCAGTACATCAATGACTGTATCGGTGCTGCCTCATGCTCCCATGAGGAGCTTGAACAGTTCATTAACTTTACTAACACCTTTCACCCCAACCTCAAGTTCACCTGGACCATTTCTGATACTTCTCTCGCCTTCCTGGACCTCTCTGTCTCTATCTCTGGTGACCGCCTCGAAACCGACATCTATTTCAAGCCCACCGACTCCCACAACTACCTAGACTACACCTCCTCTCACCCACCTTCCTTCAAGAATGCGATCCCCTACTCCCA